TAGTACTTTCTTTATTATTAGTATATTTCATCTATTTTTGGAACAATATTTATACCCAATATTCTATCTATCCAGTATTTTAGTCATGTACACGGGGGTTTCTGAACCATAACAAAAAAGTAACCTGCTACTGCAGATCCCTTGACACTGTTAACACAATCCCATAACAGTGTCTTGAGGATTTTTCACAAAATAACTTTACTATATTATAAACCGAAGGACACAACACAATATCATACAGCATATAAGTGTGACTTGAGACTGCAATTGGTGCCAACATCTTTATGAAGATATGCATCCAAATAAAAAATCTAAGGTGGGTGTATGGGAGATGTCCCTGGTCTATAGATCTCTGTGGCTGGCTGTACCAATTGATGGACCTCACCAAGTGCGCTTTCCTGTTTCTCTGCTGACTTCTGGATCTCTGTGTGCTTTCCTGTCCCCCTTCCCTTCTGGAATTGCCTGCCACTGAAGTGCATGGGCTAGGTTTTTAAAATTTGGTATTGACTGACAATACATGTCTCTCATCAATGGAGTTCAATTGTTACCCTGTCGAAAATCGAACTTGAAAATTGGGAATATACTGTACATTAAGACACAGATGTTCCATTGTTGAGGTCTAATTATTGACCAGCAAACTATGATATGATAGTGACATCAATACATGTATAGTGATGAGAGGAAATTTGTAATGCTGTATACTCAGCCTATTATTTTTGTTTTAATATTGTTTTGATAAAACACTTTTTTTTATCACATATATATGTGTTTGTAGAAAATAACTTTGCAATTACTGCATCTGTATTCACTGGAAATGTTTGAGATACGCCTAAAGCACAACTCTGGGAATAAAACATTCTCTACCCCACCTACACCAAACCAGTCTTTGTTTAAAAAAATGTTTCTAACATCCAGAAACATTTACCCCCATCCACTGTAACATCACCCTGTGCTGTGTTTCTTCTGATAGTGGACAATCCATGGCTACTCCAAAGGCACCACCTGGCCTTTTGTGAGACTGCAATTTCAGGTAAGTAATTGGGGCGTTTACTTTTCTCAATTAAAACAATAGATTAGCTAAAGTGGGGCAGATGGGAAAGGATTTTTTTTTTTAGATCAGTTTTTAGCATGTACCAGGGTTTTTCTTCTAATTTTAAGAAATCCTGTTACAATACCTAATAGTGTAATTTTATGTACATTACAGTACAGTTACAATTCTCATATTTGGAAAATAGTTATATTTAATAACTGCAGAATTTAGGCGTTGAAAATAATGAGAAGAACTTTGCACTTTAGGGTGTGTCAGACTGATGTCTTTTCTAGCTGCTTGCTGGTAAGGGGAGCAGCAGTGGCCAGCCAGAAAGGCACAGAATCCAAGATGGAAGTGTTGGATTCTTTACATTTTTCCTTGCACCTATAACCCTGCAGTTCTGAAATTAAAGCATTATCCAAGGTCACACATGTATTAAAGCCCATATACAGGAATTAGTAAAAAATTACACTTGCAGTAGGGCTCCACATGCTGCAAGGGTTAAATGCTCATTATGTCTAGGGGCACCAGAAAAAGGAGTAAATGCCTACAGTACTCCATGCTCCAGCCACAGCCTCCTCTGAGGTTGTGACCATGGTCACATGCATGCCCCGCACCAGGTGCAGTGCAAGGTTACTACCCCTGAATTGTACATGATGACATTGAGGGACTGGCCACAGCCCGGAGCTTTGGGGAGAAGAGGGCATTACCGGAGCTGGTGGATAGGGTAAGTAACAAATCCTGTTCTTGTACCCCCCTAGGCATAACAAGGGCCCTCTAGACATATGGAGGGACCCCACTGCAATGGTAGTTGGGCTTTAACTTTTAAGAAATTCAGTATGGGGATAAAAAATACTTCAAGTAGGTGTATCCTCGTGAATCTCCATGGATCCTTGTCTGTTCTTATCATTAAGTAATGAGCCCATATGAGCACAATTCACCGCCAAGTTTCTATATGGACAGCACTAAAGCTCCAACTAAAGTGGAAAAATGTTTACATTGTAAACACCAATTTTCTTTGAAGTTACTCTGGTTATTTTGTGAAATATGCACTATTGGTTCCACTAGAATCTCATAATGTCTAAACATCCATATTCTCCCATCACTGATGCAATCAAGAATACGTGGTTCAGTCAACATTCAGTGGCACATGAATATGTACACACCACACACACACACACACACACACACACACACACACACACACACACACACACACACACAAAAAACTGTACACACACCAACACTGATGCACATACACTCACTTTCACTCCCTTTCTCTAGCTCTCTTAGTGATGGGAAATTCACATGGCAGTTAAACTAGGACTCACAAACCAAAAATGGACATATGATAAAAGGCTGATTAATGTTTCCATTTTTGGCCTTCATAATAATTTTTTGGCCTCTATAATCTTTAACAGATAATATTGAAATTTACTGAACCCTAAAGGTAAATTTAAACTTTTTAATGGCCAGTTTATTGTAATATTAATTTCAGTGCATTTAGTGCAAGTAGATTATTTTAACATTTTATCTCTATTCTGTATAACAGTGAACTGAATTAATGTAGCTTACTTACAATAACACATACAGTGCACTCAAGTGTGTTTATATACATACTATATATGTATATCTTTAAAAAAAATCTCTAATTTAAGAGCGACACAGTTTCATAGCTGACTCTGGAGTAAATGGACACCATTTAACTATATACAGAGCTCTGAATAATACTAATCTACTGTACTTGGGATAGTGACATTGAACAAGCCATCACATAAAGCAAAACTCAACTTTGCAGCAATGACACTATAGATAATGGGATTTTTTTTTCTACTAGTAATGGCGGCGATCAGTGACTTTTAGCGGGACTGCGGCAGACATTCTGACACTGGGGAGGAACTAACCTGGTGTCACTGACACCTCAGTGACACCAATACAGTGATCAGTGCTAAAAAAAAAAAAAGCACTGACACTGTACTAATGAAAATGGGCAGGAAGGGGTTAATGTGAGGGGCAATAAAAGGGTTAACTGTGTTCTCGGGGTGTTTTTACTAGGGGGCAGGGGGTGTGTTCCTCACTTTAAGCACACACTGATCGGGATGGCTGTACTGTGCACAGCCATCCTGAGCAGTGTGCTTGTGCTGACAGGGAGGAATTACGTATATATATGTGATTCTGCGCACAGGTGCAGCCCTGTAGCAGTATATCTACTATAGGGCAGTCCTTAAGTGGTTAAAAAACAAAAACAGGCAGCATGACCATTCGTGATCCTTTCATTTTACTCTAAACTGGCCTGTGGGAGGAGTCAGGTGGAGCCAGCACAACACTGCAGTAATGGCCACTAAACAATGATTGATATTTAACAAATACCTATACTAACACACAGTTTTACCTAAATAGAAGACATTAAACCTCATACTATGTGTTACTTGTGCTTGAAGCCCATATCACGCTACACAGACACTGGTTCTAGCTCCCCTTGACTACACTTTACTGCTTCAGCATAAGTAAATAATAAACTACAAATACAATAAGAAACATGGCAAGTCAATTCTACCCACTAAGAAATACCACTGCATTCATACATAGAAAGAAACAGCCCTGTACAGTTCACGGTTTGCTGTAGTCCAAGGTAGGATTCAATGTTCTGTAGGGCTGGGCTATGCAAGAACTCTTTCTCATCCAGATGAAATTGACTCAGGGGCGGACTGAAAACTCATGGGGCCCCCGGGCAATAGGGGATCATGAGGCCCTTGTGTCCTTGCCCAAACTTAAAAAAGCCTATGAAAAAGGTACCAGGGGCATTTCATGGGGCCCCCTACTGACCTCGGGCCCTCGGGCGGTGCCGAGTTTCCAAATGGTCAGTCCGCCCCTGAATGGACTCTTGAAGTTGTGTGCACAAGAGAGGCCACAGCGGCTGTTACTAAAAGCTCCAAAAGCCCAGAAGGACATGTCAAGAGAGTCTAAGGTATTCAGGTTTTGTAGGAGTTTAGGCTGTCTGCAGACAGGAAGTATATCTGCAAAATGCCCTTCAGTGACAAGTCATGCTCAATGTGGAAGGAAAGTGGGGTAAATGAAAGAGCAACACAGTTTTCCACCAAACATCAGAGACAGAAACAGATTGAACAGAATCATATGAGGCTGTAGTTCTTCTCTAAAAAGAACCAAATGAAAGTGTAAGACCTCTATGCCCTGTAGTGATGTAGGCATCAGTGGATCAAACCACAGAGTGTAAGGAGGGGGGGGGGGGAGAAGGGGCACTAGCAGCCAAAGTTCCTAGAAGTGTGCAATACTGGAAATGTTTTTATGTTTTTTGCAAGCTGGAAGATAACCGAGTTCTGCAGCTCAGACAGTGAGAAAGATAAGTATTAAAAGTTTTTTTTTGCAGACAATGTATTATTTAAATTTTTTGGTTTAAATAGCAACAAAATTGCTTTAAAGTCCCTTCTCTTTGTGGGTCCCTTGCAACCACTCTCTGCTCCTTCTTCCTACAGTTGCCCCCTTGCGGGAGTGCTCCAGAACTAGGCTGTGTAGGTCCATAGACATACACAGTGTCGGCAAGCCACCCCCTGCTTCCTCCTAACAGGAGTTTGACTGACAGCAGCAGGAACCTAGCAGCAGGTAAGTGTTTATGGATGGGAGGATAACAGGTAGTCAGAAGATTGTTTGTGTAGAGAATGCATTAAGGTAAACGCCACTTAGACTACAGAACCACTTTAAGCACAGGGAAGGGGTTAAAATATATATAAAGCCATATACTGTATTGTTTCAGGTTTGGATACAATATAAAACAGAGAATTTATATATATATATATATATATATATATATATATATATATATATATATTTATTGAGGTCTGTGTCCTGTTTGGGGAATTTTACTTAAAGTAGAGCTATAGGCAAAAAGTTTTTCTTCATTTTGGACAGAGTAAGGGAGGGTATAACCCCGTCAAATGTTTTCACCATCTGCGTCCCATTACGGAGATTTTCCTTCGCTTACTGTCCCATAGCCAAACAGGAAGTGAGAGGAAATCCCTGCAAATTAAGGGGATTCCTTGGGGACCCCCAGGTCACCAGAACTAGTGTCCCCATTGGAAGATTTCCCCTCTATTACTTTTCTGGGGACAACCCAAAATTTGGGATTTTCTTTTACTTTCACTTTCAATAAAAATGGTAAACATGACAAATAGAGGGGGTGAATCTATCTATTGGGGGCACTGACGGCAATACAAACCTGACAAGTGTTCTATCCTCTTTACACTCTATCCAAAGCTAAAAAAAAAAAAAGTTTTGCCTTTAGTTATACTTTATCTAGGTGGGCGATGGTTAGGTGTTAGAGCAGTGGTTCTCAACCTTCCTAATGCCGCGACCCTTTAATACAGTTCCTCATGTTGTGGTGACCCCCAACCATAAAATTATTTTCGTTGCTACTTCATAACTGTAATTTTGCAGTGGGAGGAGTAGTGCCACGTCATTGGTGTCAGTGGGAGGAATAGTGTCCCATCACTGATGTCAATGGGAGGAATAGTGCCCCGTTGGTGTCAGTGGGGGAGGAATAGTGCCCCACGTTGGTGTCAGTGGGGGAGGAATAGTGCCCCATCGTTGGTGTCAGTGGGGGAGGAATAGTGCCCCATCGTTGGTGTCAGTGGGGGAGGAATAGTGCCCCATCATTGGTGTCAGTGGGGGAGGAATAGTGCCCATCGTTGGTGTCAGTGGGGGGAGGAATAGTGCCCCATCGTTGGTGTCAGTGGGGGAGGAATAGTGCCCCATCGTTGGTGTCAGTGGGGGGGAGGAATAGTGCCCCATCGTTGGTGTCAGTGGGGGGTGTCAGGAATAGTGCCCCATCTAGTGATCATTGGTGTCATTTGGGGGAGGAATCGTGCCCCATCGTTGGTGTCAGTGGGGGGAGGAATAGTGCCCCATCTAGTGCCCCATCATTGGTGTCATTTGGGGAGGAATCGTGCCTCATCGTTGGTGTCAGTGGGGGGAGGAATAGAGCCCCATCGTTGGTGTCAGTGGGGGTGTCAGAGGAAATAGTGCCCCATTGTTGGTGTCATTTTGGGGGAGGAATCGTGCCTCATTGGTGTCAGTGCCCCATCGTTGGTGTCAGTGGGGGAGGAATAGTGCCCCAGGAATGGGGGGAGTGCCCCCATCGTTGGTGTCAGTGGGGGGAATAGTGCCCCATCGTTGAGTGGGGGGAGGAATAGTGCCCCATCTAGTGCCCCATCATTGGTGTCATTTGGGGGAGGAATCCTGCCTCATCGTTGGTGTCAGTGGGAGGAATAGTGCCCCATCATTGGTATTAGTGACACCAATGATTGGGCACTATTCCTCCCACTGACACCAATGATACTTACCTTGCTGACCCCTGCTCCAGCCTGGGCTCGCTCGCTCCCTCCCTCTCCCATGATACAGACACTTACCAGTCAGCTGTTTTCCTTCTCCGGCCGCTCTCCTCCTCTTCACTCGCTCGATCTTCACGGTGCCGCTCGGCTCCTCCTCTCCAAGCTCCACCTCCTCGCCGGTGATTGGCCGCCTGTGTGCCTCTCCTGATCTACAGTTCCGGCGGCCAATCACCGGCGAGGATTAATCCCGGGGGTGTGTCCAGATGACAGGGGCGGCATGTCATCCCGCCCACACCTGGAGGCGGATAGAGGAGCGGTGTCTCGGTTCCTACGACCATCGGAAATATGTGTTTTCCGATGGTCTTAGGCGACCCCTGTGAAAGGGTCGTTCGACCCCCAAAGGGGTCGAGACCCACAGGTTGAGAACCTCTGTGTTAGAGGGTGCTTTAGGGTAATACATATTTTAATCCCCCTGCCTTAATGATATAGCAAAGGTTTTGTTTACTTTCAGTGCTGGGAGCCTCTTGACAAAAGTCAGCAATGTCCAAATCAGAAATATATGAAGAGGAAAGTACACAGCACAAGCTACTGAGAGTACAGTCATACTACTGACCCTGTAAGATGGTCTATGAAATATTTCAGAAATCTTAGTGTGTTGAGTAGCAATTATAGATCACTGACTGCTTTTCTTTGTTCCCTGAAACTGCTCTTTAACCAAAGTACATACATAAGAATGTAATATCAGGTTATTAATATCAAAGTTCCTGCAAATAGATTCACCAGTCTTCAAAAAGTGTTTGTTACAGTTTTTTTTTTTATTTAGAAGTGACTTTATTCTGAAAGGAACTGTTGACGTTGTGGCAGTAGATGAGTGGTGCTGTGTCGGAATATAAAAACACAACAAATCTGCTGAAGGACTAATTGGGGGACTCTGGAGCCTCCAATTGGGACCCCAAGGTAGTGGGGTGAAGCAGTAGGGTTAAGTAAAATCCACATTTTTGATGAAAATTTAGCGATTTTTTTTTCATTTTGGAAAAAATTCATTGTAACTTGGGGATTGTGACAATAATGTGGTAACAATATTATAAGACACTATATGAATATTCAAGAGTGATAAATGGAAAGGCACTTACTTAACATATATGAAATACTGAACTTATAAGCAAAGTAATATGTCATAGGGACAGCTGCTTAATTGTCATTGTAATTATTTGGTTGTTTCTGTTTAGAGGTTTTTGAGCTATATATGGTATAAGTAGGCGCTACGATATAGAGTATTTGTGATATGCAACTATATAAATATTATTTTCCTTATTTTGCGTGTTTTTTTTTTCTTTTTCTTGTGGACAAACATCAAATAACAAAATACACCAAAAGTTTTTTTATTGGTTAATGCCTTATTTACCAACAAATTAGATCACCATGTCCTCACTGATCTGGCTCTGTTGATAAACAAAAGCCACATGAAAATGATAAATTGTGACCTCAAGGCACCTTTTACAGACCACCTGTGTGTTTTTTCAGGTGGATCAGATTGGACCATCCATTGTTCTCTATGGGGAAGCGAGTGTAAACGGACTTGTGTCCATTTACCTCCACCTGCATCCATCTAGCAGAGCGGATCGGATGAGAGTCAGATGTAAATAGAAAGGCGGTCCGTTTACATTCGCTTCCGCATAGAGACCACCCCATAGAGAACAGTGAGCTGTCATCCACCTGCTCAGTAGGGATCAGTGGACAGCTCCTCCGCTGAGCAGGAATATCCGCCTGTGTGAAAGAGCCCTAAAAGGTGAATGTAAAACCTTCAGCTGGCCATGCATGGATCAAAATTGGGCCAGTTCAGAAGGGACCTGCTGAATTTCGATCTATGTATGGGCACCCTGGTTGTACAGGGTTGTTCACCTAGCAAACCTTTACATTGTATTCTGATGGTGGGGAAGGTTCCCCACTGACAGGATACAATAGCACAGTGGGACTGATTCCCCCATCCACATCTATGTAGATGGGAGAATCAGATCTCTCTTTTTTGGTCAAGCTGCTGGTTGTGAATAAAAAATGATTAAAGTCGTTGTAAAGGTTTAAGGGTTGTTACCTTCATGCATTTTTTGAATGAAGGTAAAAAGCTGTCTGTGTGCAGCAGCCCCCCTAATACTTACTTGAGCCCCATCCAATCCAGCAATGTGCACCAGAGCCTCTGTATCCTGCTGCTGTCAATCAAAGCCAGTGAGCCAATAAGGAGAGAGAGGGAGTCGGCTGAGCCGCAGCTCTGTGAGGACACTCAGAGCAGCAGCTCAGGAGGGAGCCTGCTTGGGTGCCCCCCAAAGCAAGCTGCTTTCTCTAGGGCACTCAGCAGGGGGGAGGGGCCAAGAGGGATAGCAGGGGACCAGAGAAGAGGAGGATTGGGGCAAACCATTGCACAGAGCAGGTGAGTATGACATGTTTGTTATTTAAAACAAAATGCCTTTAATATCACTTTAATGTATGGGCTTCCTTGGTCTGAGGATAATGGTAAAGCTAATGAATGGTTCTGCCCTTAACAATGAACTTCTCTTATTTGCTCATTTTTGGTCTGTTAAATATATCATTGAAAGTGTTTTATTATATCTGATAAAAAAAATGTTGATCTTGACAGAAATCTTGTCAGCTGATGACTTCCAGCCCTCTCTGCTTGTACTGCACTGTTATCAATTATATTATTCTGAGGATTACAGGACCCTGCTGATCTATATTATGGACAAGAATAATGGGGGAGAGTTATTGTCCTGTTTCAGTGGGATGGGTGAGAGTTGTCATCGTAGGACTTGAAGTGTATTACAAGCAGCTATACCATGTAAAGATAAAGGAAAAAACTTGAATAAAGAAAATGTTTTAGAGCTCCCCTTTAATAATGCCCACAGTTGCCCTAGTGAGGTAGATTACCCAAAAACCTCCATCTTCTAAAGTAATCCTTGTAAAAGTAGACTCTCCTCACTAAATAAGTTCTTGCTGGTCAATATATAAATTACATTTGAGTGTTTATTGTAACCATTGCTGTTGTTATCATGTCTTTTCATTCACATGAATATCATATTTATCATTTTCAGTTACAGGTGGAGCTCCATTTCAGGAGCTCTGTGAGGGAACTTCTTACAGCTTTTGCATTAAACCAAAAGTGAATAATAGGCAGTCAGGAACAGGAAGGAAGGAAGCTTATCTGAACCTCAAAACACAAACTGAATATTTCAGCTTAATATGATGGATTAATTACTATACTTCAGGTTTATTTCCCCCTATATTTTCACCTGTGATCCTGCCAGCAATGCATGTTCTATACTGTGACTATGGAGGAACAGCGTTGTCACCCTAGGCTGTTCTCCCCCTCTCCTCATCTCCATTACATAGGAAGGATGGGATTTACAGAAGAGAGCAGGGAAAGCTGATAACTTATCAGTTCAGTGCAAAGGAAAGTACAGGGATGCTGGAATTCTGGCAAGATTAGCAGGTATTCTCTGCTTACAGGAAATGTGCTTAGCCTGATAAAAAGAACCCTAATGCAGCCACTACATTTAAAGTGGAGCTCCACCCAAAAGGTGAAGTTCCGCTTTAAGCCTTTGTACCCCGCTCCCCATTACGGATCGGCACCCTTGGGGAGTGGGTACCTGAATTTGACAGATACCAGCTCTCACTTCCACTGTGATCGCCTAGGTGATCAGAAGCAGAAGTTGTCCCCCCCCGTAGTCTTCTGGGACACGTGACAGGCCCCAGAAGGCTACGGGGCCATTCACAAGCGCAGCGCTTCTCGTGCATGTGCAGTGGGCAGCCGCAAGCTGTCAG